GTTCTGTATTGCTGGGCCTCACCATCACAGCTATCTGCATGGCTGCTTCCTAGGCAGCACAGATTCCACTCATTAATGAGATACTTAGATATGTAGCTTTCTCTCATTTCCCCATCTTTCAATGAGGTAGTTACATGCATTTATAATACAATTAGACTTTGTATTATAAAGTTTGCAATTATAACATAATGAGATAGTTCATAAGTGAGAAACAGGTATATTTATTTCCTGTCAGCTTTCCTGTTGTGGCTCTGTAGGATAAATACTGGACTGCTAACCTCAATGTTAGTGGTTCAATTCCACAAGATGCTGTTTGGAAACCCTATACAGGGTCACTGTGAGTCAGAACTGACTCAATGGAATTTGAAAGCAATAACAAGATACAGATTAAGTGAAATCCTGACATTAATGTAAATTTAATAATATTTATGTAAAATGGGTAAAATAGTATAATGGATGTGCAAGGTCCTACAGTTAGAAAACCAAAAGGGAAGAACACCCAGCATTTCTAAAACTGAAAGAACTGAAAGAATAAAAAACAAACCAAAAAACCCCTCAAGCTTTGACTTCAAATACTGAAGGATCCCATAGGCAAAATATTTAACGATGCTGAAAACATCAAAACAAGATGGAAGGGAAACAGTCATTGTAGCAATAAGAAATGATCAAATGTTCAGCCATTTCAAGATGTGATCAAGAACCAATAGTACAGAAGGAAGAAGTAAAGCTGCACTGGAGGCATTGGGGAAAAACCAAGCTCCAGGAAATGAGAGAGCACAAGTTGAAATGTTTCAATAAACTGGAGGTGCTCTTAGCACTATCTATGCTAAGAAATCTGAAAGACAGCTACCTGTCCAACCAATTGGAAGATATCCACATTCGTGCCCATTCAAAAGAGAGTTGACCCAACAGAATGCAAAAATAATCGGAAATATCATTAGTATCACATGAAAGTAAAATTTTGCTGAAAATATTTTTTAAATGGCTGCAACAGTGCATCAACATTCAAACTAGATTCCGAAGAGGACTTGAAATATTGACATCAGTTGGAAAAGCTATGGATAACATTGAGAAGAATGGATATTTCAGAAAACGTAATTGTGCTCTTGAGGAATACGTACATAGTCAAGCAAGCAGTTGTTCAAATAGAGCAAAGGGATACTGAATGGTTTGAAATCAGGAAAATTGTGTGCTAAGGTTGTATTCTTTAATTCTGTATGTTTAACAAATAAGCTGAGAAGCTGGATTGTATGGAGAAGAATGTGGGATCAAGATTAGAGGAAGACTCTTTAACAACTTGATTTATGCAGATGATACAACCTTGCTTGCTGAAAGCAAGCTAATGAAGATCAAAGATCACAACCTTCAATAAGGGCTGCACCTCCATGTAAATAAAACAAAAATCCTTACAACTGAACAAATTAACACCATCATGATAAATGGAGAGAGGCTAAAAGTGTCAAAGACTTCATTTTTCTCAGATCAACCATCAACACTCATGGAAGCAGCAGGCAAGAAATCAAATGATATATTGCATTATGCAAATCTGCTGCACATGACCTCTTGAAAGTGCTCAAAAGCAGATATATTCGTTTTGGCAACAATGTGCATTTGAACCAAACCATGATATTTTCCATAGCTTTTTATAAATGTCAGAGTTGGACAATGATTAAAGTAGACCTTGAAGAATTGATGCATTAGGGTTATGGGGCTTAAGAATGTTTAAAGTACCATGAACTATCAGAAAAAACAAACATCTGTGTTGCAAGAAATACAGTTAGAATAATCCTTAGAAGCCAGGATGATGAGACTTCGTCTCTCATACTTTGGAGAGGTTATCAGGAGAGACCAGTCCATGGAGAATGTCATCATGCTTCGTAAAATAGAGGGTCAACAAAAGAGGAAGACTCCCAACAAGATGGATTGGCACAGTGGTAACAGCAATGGGTTCCAGTGTAACAATTGTGAGGCTAGAACAGGGCAGGGTTGTGTTTAGTTCTGTTGCACATAGGGTTCTATGAGCCAGATTCAACTCAAAGATACCTAAGAACAACAGTTGGATTTGGCAGCTGTTAAAATATTGCTAACATATTAATAGAAAAAAAAAATGCTATGGTAGTACAGAGGTTAAAGCACTCATCTGCTAACCAAAAGATCAATGTTTGAACTCATCAGCTGCCCCATGGGAGAAAGATGTGATAGTTAGGAATAAGAGTTGTATTATAAAGTTTGCAATTATAACATAATGAGATAGTTTTGGGATAATGACACGTAATGACAATTGGTAATAAGAATTTATGCATGACTTTCTATGAATAAACCAAAAACTCCAGACTCCCATCAAGTCAGTTCCAATTCATAACAACACTATAGGGCAGAGTAGAAACATGCAGTAGGTTTTCCAAGGCTGCTTATCTTCTAAAGAAGCAGAGTATCATATCTTTCTCCCATGGGACAGCTGATGAGTTCAAGCAGTGATCTTTTGGTTAGCAGGTGAGTGCTTTAACCTCTGTATTACCATAGCATTTTTTTTCTATTAATATGTTTGCAATATTTTAACAGCTGCCAAATCCCATTTATAATGACATATTTAAGTCAGCTGGGCATAAGATCATTCTAAAATAATATGCTATTCTCTTACCAGAAGGTCACAGTTCATCCCCAGCGGACTACATGTCCTTATAAATGCATTAAAAGTAGTAAGTTATAAAGCTTTCAAGATGTTCAGCAGAGAATTTATATTTGAAAACTTAAGAGGTGAAAATCCACTCAACGATGGCAGAATTCTGCAAAGATAGTGGATGATTGAAAGTGTAAGTTTCTCTCCACAGAATCCCTCTGTAAAACTCAGCTTTATGCAATCAGCATAATGTAAGTCTCATACTGGTTTATGTGAAATGTTTATACTCTGCAGCCTCTCACCTTACATTTATGCTTGTTTCCACTTGGTAGTTCTTAAACTGCACATTTCACATGCGACAATTGATTTAGGAACCCTATTTGTTGTTCCTTTTACTGTTGCTTAGAAGAAAAAGCCAGAATTGCTATCTGTGAGACCGCTTTGTTTTCTGTTCTTTGACTTTCTGAACCAACTGAGCAATGACCTTGCATTTGATTGTCTTCAAATTATATAGTAAGTGGAATTGTATAGAAGAGGTGGTGTATTTATTTTAGAGTATACACACATTGTCATGCATACACACACTAGACACACACACACACACACACACTGATGTCCCTCCCCCAAGCAGAGTACTTAGTATATTAGTCTTTTCGTTACATTCTTTATTCAAAAATGATAGCAAAGACCAGAAGATCTGTAGGAAGATATCTAGAATATCATACAGAAGCGTTACACACGAAAGTCAAAAATAAAAAAAAAAGATTTAATGGTTTTCATAAAACTAAAATAAATAAATAAAAGAGAATAACTTCCTTTTAAGCCAGCAAATAGAAGAGACCAGAAAGCTGAAAAATGAACCAAAGTTAATATCATAAAGTAAAAGGGAAGCTTCCCCCCCAAACACACACAAATTAGCCATATGGTACAATCAGAATATAGAAAGAATAGTTGGAATTTAATGTGGTCTCTAAGTTACTTGAGATATTGAACTCATTTTTTTTAATCTTTTGATACAAAGGGAAAGAAAATAAATCTCGGTTATAATGAAAATGAGTAAAATTACCATCACCAACTATTTATTGATCTATGTCTATGTACATAGATTCACAAATACAGTCATTGATCAAAAACAGGTAAAATAAGGTTGACCTTGAAAATTTCAGCAGTGAAAAATTTACTCAATAAGCAACTATAAGTTATTCTTTCTGCTCAAAAGTACACTTCAGCTAAGGTTTCTGTGGATGCTGTGGCAGTGATGAGAGGAGCAGATAACTTTATTTATATTGCATGATTAACATGTTTTGCAGGCACTGATCTTTCTTTAAGGTAAAACGTCTTACTATACACAAATTTCAAATTCTGTTTCTGTATCTTTATTATTACCAGCATGTTTGCTTAGAAATAACTGTATTATCTCCTCATTTTAGTTACTAGCTATTCCAATGACTCATTATTAAAAATACTGTTTCACATATGCATATCTTTGGCTCAACCTGCTTTCTTATGTGTAGCTGTTTAATTAAATGGAAAACAAAACGAACTTTATTTTCCCAATTAGAATAATCATATCTTAGCATCAGAAAGAGAAGACCA